TGCTATAATTACTGAGGAGGTCCCACTTTTGGGTTCCCCAAGAATTTTAGATCACTGAAAATACTAAAAGCAGGAGTAAGACTCCCTTTCTTGGCGGAGTCATGGAACTGGGCATGAAATTATTGCTGCTGAGATCCAGAGAAATAATAGGGAACCAGAATCTAAGTGGACTCAATTTTATAGAGGAGTTAAGAAGAAATGATAAGAACCCGAAGAGGAAATCATTATTTATGTCAAAGTTTAAAGAGACCCTGTCACCGGACCATTTGCTTCCACAACAATCTTCCAATTAGATTTGTGTATTTGACATTTTCTGCATATTTACTTGCAAAATCCTCTCTTGTGTAGACATCGAAATGTCCTGAGACTGCTGTTAGGTGCCACCATCTTGAATGAAGTCGGCAGCCTCAGCAGAATCAGAGCCGCTCTATTAGTGTTCCCCCTTCACTCCTCCGGCAGACTACTACATAAAAGGAGTGGAGGACACCCCCAGAACAGGGAGGGTTATGACGTCCAAAAAGGGAGTGGGCTGTGCCACGGAATGGACTCTAGTAATCCACTATTTATTTCCACTATCTAGTAATCCATTATTTATGGAAAGGAAATACTTTTTTTTTTTTTTAATACTTGACGAATTTAAGGGTTTTATCGGCTACTTTTTTGATGACACAGTCTCTTAGGGCGTTAACACTACATGCGTTCCGGTGTTTTGTTTTTTTTTTCCTGCATCCAAAAACACACAGAAAGTAGGTTATATGGTTGTCAATGGCAAGGTTCACACCAGTGCTTGCAGTTCCGAAGCCTGAGGAAAAAAAAAAAAAAAAAAAAACCACAGGCTGCATTTTTCCTGCACAGAACTGTACTGGAACGCGGTTAAAAAAAAAAAAACCCCATAAAACTACAGAACACCTCCAAAACGCATAAAAAAAAATGCACTGGACCCCAAATGACCCAAAAAAGGAGGAAAAAAAAAAATCATCTTGAATGCATCAAAAATGCGTAAATAAAAATAAAACATGCAGAACACATCCAGACTGTTTCTATGGTGTGAACCAGCCCCACAAAGTTACATGCAAAACTGGCTGATCAAAATTCAGGTGTGGTGTGATCCCCACCAGCAAGTAGAAGGAACACAAAAAGGAAAATCATCCCTCGCTGGTTTTTCAAAGCCCAGCCAGAATTTTTTTTTTTTTTCCATTTTAAATTTTCAACAGGCTGGGGAAGGGATAGAACCTCTCTTGGGTTTTTATTTGCACACAGTCCCCATTGGAGAGACGTTCCTTAACTTCCTATTAGGGCGGGAAGTTAGCGGGGACTACAAGAAAAAAAAAAAAAATATTACATTGCTCTCCTTAGAAAAAGCTCAGGTTAGGAGATCGCTGTACAGACAACCGGCAGGTATCCACATAGAGGAGAACGCGTCCCCAGCACACCACGGATTCATGATATGCAGTCCACAAGTCTAATTCAACCACTCGCATCACAATCTGTGCGAGTGTAATGTTTTGGAGCCACACAGCCTGCGCAGAGCAGAGCTGTGGGAGGGACCCAGCAGGCTGCCTGCAGAAAACTACAGGAGGGGGCGGAGACCAGACCAATCACCCTGCACAAGGAGAGAGGGCAGCAGTGAGCGGTCTGTATTACAGGAAGTTCCTGTACAGAAGGAAAGTGTAGACAATACTTGCTTGGCCTGGAGTTCAGCTTTAACTTTAGCAGATTGATGCTTCTTTAACACAAGAGCTGATTTTCACACTGCACCTCTGTGCTGCATACTGGCTGGAATGGGCTTGGAATACAATGCGCAGCAGCTGAGAAGAATATACCAGACAGTAGTGACATATACGAGGCTCAATTCACAAAGCTAACATACCAGGATACACATTTTAAAAAAAAAAGTGACAGTTATTTTCACAGTTGATTCCAAAGAAATTGAAAATGACAGTCAGATGGCTGAACAGAGCGTTTTTTAGGCTTGTGTAAAGCTTTGTGAATTGAGCCCAAATGAACCATTTTGTGATATTGTTTGGAAATTAAATTTCCACTTTACAGCTTGCGCAAATCCTACCTTAATCTGGATAGCCAGCAGTGTTTTGTGCTTTTAACCGAAACTGTAAATATATTTTAATAACATTGCTGAGGACCGCTAACGAAAACCTAGATCATCTTATACTATGCTGTAATCAAATATTAATACAAAAGTATTATAACATGATTATACTGTACTGGAGCAGGAAGGTTGGCATGAAAGCCAGGCAACTAGCATTTTCAGGAGATCAGCAGTCCCTATTTTTCTCATAAAAAGACAGACGGAACACATCAAGGCTCCTAGACCAGAGTATTTTGAGTCATCTTGAGAGATCTTAACAAGGTACAAAGTTCTACTTGCAAATTTGCCTGGCTTTATAAAAAGATAAGGTGCATTAAAAGTGCACTTCATTCCAGCCAAAACTGTAAATTCAGATTTAAGTGGAGTACCCTACAAAGATCCCACTACCACAAAGCGCACATACACAAAAGATGACAGCTGATTGGCTGCAAAGGGTTAATACACACTGCATATTGTTCCCTGTCTTAACAAAACGGCCACACCCACCAGGTACTTTTACTGTCATGACATGGTGGTTCTTGTGTGGCCAAATGACCCGAGAGCTATGCCAGAGATTACACAGCTATCAGTGGGGCCAATCATGCCAGGAAGGTCCCCAGCATTAACCCAAGCAGAAAAGGAATACCCTGGTTCTCCAGTTTGGGGGCTCATCCGGGATTAACACCACCATGCTGGGAAAAAAAGGAATGGTTGCAAAACCTAAAAGGAAGTGATTGAATCAGGAGGTCAATGGTGTAGTGGAGTAAATATTGTTATAAGACGACCAAAAAACATTCACAACTTTCTAATGAGGGGTTCTGAACCCCTCGCTGTTCACATTATATCAAGTTATTGGTTGCCAAGCATACAACCTCTGGAATATCAGAAGTGGAGAATTTAAGTCTACAAGCTATACAGACAAACAGCAAAGCAGCCAGAATCGGCAAAAGGTAGAGGGAAGCATTGTACATAGTCCATTATGTACAGTAATACTTTACCACAGGTGTTGAGTATTGCATAAAACACAGTGTTTTTACCAAAGAAATGAGTCTATCGAAAATAAAAACTATGCAAAACTCCAAAATAATCTTTTTTTTTTTAGCAAGCGTTGTGTCATCCCGGGCCTCTGTTTTGTAGAGGTAAAGTCTGCAAGCCTGACCAGGAAGACAAAGAACTGAATTCTGGGCCAAGGTCACTCGGAGGAACTGTATCTGGAGTAGGTGGTCATGACCGTTCTTCAGTAATGTCCTTTTCTGGCTGGAAAGTGAAAATAAAAAAGGTCACCAATACAGTCATGTCAATGTAATGACAATGAGAAATGTATAAAGAGATGTAGTTGGATGGCCAAATTCCAGCCAAAAACTTTTTATGGGCAGGTATTAGCCTCTGTCACCATCAGATTTCCGCTCTTTTCCTTTTCAGTATAGGAAGGGATGGGAAATCTCCACAACAGACAAAAAAACATTTTCAGTAGAGCCAGAAAAAGTTAGAACCTCTAAAAATGTTTTTGCCCAGGGGATAACAGTAGAAAAAAAAAAAAAAAAAAAAAAAAAAAAAGAAGGTGGATTTGGGCTTTTGCATTCAAGCTAAAAAGGTTCCTATTTCATGAAACAACCCTTTCCACTATAGGATTTTGAACATAAGGGATACATCCTAAAAAAAAAAAAAAAAAAACTTCAGTTTTTAGGATGCATCCCTTACTTTCAGTTCATCTCTGCTCCAGCCATTGTTATTACTGACATTTACCAGCTGTAAAAATGACAGCCCATTATTTTTTTTGTTTTGCAAAGCAAGAGCCCTTGTTAAATGCAGCTGTTCCTGTGTAAAATGACACTTGCAGATAGTCTGCAAGTGGCAGTAAGTAAACACAATGCAACAAAACTATTGTATCATTGTAGTTGCTATTTCATTTATGTCTGACCTATGACCTGCTTAAGACAAAAACAAGTTACTTACATTTAGTAAATAAATAAATAAAAATTGTATTGTCTGCAAGTGTCAATGAGTAAATGCCACAAGTCCATGTATTGTTACATTGTATTTACATGTGGATCCAGCAAGGCCCCAAGGTCAACAGAACTAGTGTCCTCACTGGAAGATTTCCCCTCTATTACTTTTCTGGGGAAAAAATATTTGGGATTTTCTTTTGCTTTTAATGATAATTATAAACAGGACAAATGGAGAGGCTGAATCTCCCTAACCTGCATAGACAGCAATAAAAACCTCATAGGTGTTCTAATTCCTCTTCACTCTACTCAAACCCAAAAAAGTAGTTTAGTTATACTGTAACTCTGGTCCATAAGGGATGTGCAGGTACAAAAGCTGAAGTGGTTAAAGGTTTCACCCATTTAAAACTGGAAATGCATTTTGCTGCCACACCTGAATTGTGACACAACCTCTGTAATATGTCAGAGTCCTGACCTCAACCCGACTGAAATGCTGTGGCATGACCTTAAGAGAGCGATTCACACCAGACATCCCAGGAATATTGCTACACTGAAACAGTTTTGTGAAGAGGAGTGGTCCAGAATTACTCCAGATCGTTGTGCAGGTCTGATCTGCAACTACAGGAACTGTTTGGTTGAGGTTATTGCTGCCAAAGGAGGGTCAACCAGTTATTAAGTCCAAAGGTTCACATACTTTTTCCTCCCTGCACTGTGAATGTTTACATATTATGTGCAATTAAACCATGGCAACATTTAATGTTTGTGTAGTATTATGTTCAGCAGACTGTGTTCTTCTATTGTTGTGACTTAGATGACGTTCAGAGCACATTTTATGCCCAATTCATGCAAAACTCCACATAATCCCAAGGGGTTCACATACTTTTTCTTGCAACTGTACACTACATGTGATCATATATCTGCCAGAAAGGTACAGAAAAGAACATACCTGTTACACAGGGTGGTGGGGTTTAGGATTTTGCGGTGCGTTTCCGGAGACTCTCCCTGGAGAGATCGTTCTCTGGCGATTCCTCATTGTCCGCCGAGTCAGACTTTGCCTCCTTCTCCCGTTCTTCCTCCATCTGTTTTAGTATTCTGGCAGCCTCGGGACTCAGTTTTTCTGAAAAATTGTACAGCAACTAGGATTAGTAAATACAAGTGGTCACTTGATGAGCAATATTCAGCAAAGTCACTAGAAATGGAGAATTAAAATGTAACTATGGGAGATTGTCCAATTTTATTTAATTACAAAAAAATTAAATAAAATACAGAATTCATCAACTTATCTTTAAAATATTGTTTGCCATAACTTATATAACTTTATAGAAAAAAAAAAAAATACACATTTAAAAACACAAGGAACTCCAATGATGTGCTGTTTGCACAGGATGGTGGGCTTACTTAAAAGAAAGCCCAGCACTGCCGGTACATTGGTTGACTGCTTCTGCAGACTAAATTCTGAGGAGGTCCCATCACTTCTGAGAGACAAGACAGAAGAAAAATATCCCTTCTTTTTTTCCTTTCAGGTGTATGTGCACACAAGTACAAAATTAGATTCAGGTAGAATCCACACTGACTTGCTAAAATCATATTGTGAAGTGAAAAAATGCTAACTATGGTGAAATGAAAACAAAAATTAAAACGTATAAATACTGTAGCCGCTAGTGCACACAACCCATGCCTCAGTGGGAAAAATTATACAATCATATTGCGAAGTGAAAAAATGCTGCGCTACATGAAACAATGGCACAATCCTTGTATAACAAAAAAAGTGAAAAAAAAAAAAAAAAAAAAATATATATATCTATATCTATATCTATATATCTATATCTATATCTATCTCTCTCATATATATCGAGAGAGAGAGAGAGAGAGAGAGAGAGAGAGAGACACACACACACTGTATAAACTTTTATTCATCAATTAAACAGAAGAAATACAGTCACGTTCCGGAGGTGTATTTGCACCAGGTATGATGAAGATCCAGTGATGTACTGATTGCTGCTGAGATGATACTGCCATCTAGTGTCTAATCAGTACATCACTAGATCTTCATCATACCTGGTGCAAATACACCTCCGGAACGTGAATGTATTTCTTCTGTTTAATTGATAAATAAAAGTTTTTTATAAGGATTAAGCACTATGTGGAGTTCTTTTTAATGAGGAATACGGCTGTTTCAAAGATGCTTATCAGGAGGGAGATTACTTTGGAGTCTTCATTCAGCAAGCTGATCTTCTGTGTCCATATGGGATAAAAAGTGCAGTTAGATCCTCCTGTAGCCTATCCAAAACTTAAAAAAGCAAAAACAAAAAAACAGCTGGATTTTTAATACACATAATATAACTCACTATGATGCGGGTATCCCTGGGGTCGGTGCCTCTTTGTTGGACACAGGTAATCTGCCACAAACACCAGAAGCTGCAATAAAGAAAGAGCGCTATCAGACCAGACATATTTGCAAAACTGTAGCACAATGTGACAAGGAATAAATAATACAAATCTAACATACCAAGTCCCCGGTCACACTGGGTGTGACTTGGCATGCAATTTGAATGCCATGCGACTTGCAAATCGCATGCCAAGTTGCACCATATTGTCTGCAATTAGAGCAATCATATAGGGTGTAATATGTAAAATGTTCCAGCACCTTCCCCTCGTGACAGTTAGCAGGGGTTCCTCTTCCTGCATCCGCTGTCACATTTTAAAATCAGCAGGGCTCTGCCTGCAAAGTCCCGCCTGCCATAGCAGATGGCTTATAGTTCTCAATGGAATGAAAGGACATGCACAAGCACCCTACAGTTCATTGACACTCCAACTTTCAAACAGAAAGCCTGTATAGGAGGTACAGGCAAAAAAGCTTGAGGGTGTCTGCAGGAAGCTGGCATTGCACTCACGATCCACTGACTGCAGATGCAATACTTTGCAAGCTCCTGGTGGAAAAATATATGCACTTTTTTTTGCAAGAATATGTGCATTCATTATTTTTCCACAAAAGGTGAACTTCTGCTTTTGAGGTATGTGAAGAAAATGGAAACGTTTTATTTACAAATGTCATTAGGATGCTGAGAAGAGGTGAAGACGGAACGTGACTAATTTTGCCTGGTATGTACATTCAGTACCATTTTAAAAGAAATAAAACAAAAACGTGTTACATATCTGTTCCTATTTCTCATAATGTCATTAAAGAAAAGTACAAATTCTTCTTTCATTCTGGAAGGTTCATAATGGATATAAAGTATAAGACGTGAGCATATTTAGAAAGCAGATAATGTTTCATGAAGGTCACATTCATAGATTTAAAAAAAAAAATACCCCTTAGGCTTCAACATAGAATATCCTGCCTACTCACCAAACCAAGAATGAGACCTAGAAGTAGAGTGAGCAATCCGAATATGACATACGATCCCCAGACTGGAATACCCAAATCCTCAACGAAGTATTCATGACAGTACTGAAAAGACAGAGAACATCCATCACTACTGACAGCCAGGGCACACAGCATATGCAGGCTCAATAAACATGAATGATCAGTACATGAAATAGTTTACAACTGCCAGAGGAATCCCATGGGTGCTGCTGTAGAAATGCAGCTATTACTTATACTATAACAAGAAGCTATAATGAATTCTGACACACAATATTGCCAAAAGTATTGGGCAGCACTCCAATTCATTGGATCAAGCATGTAGGCATGCAGACTGCTTCTACAAACATTTGTGAAAGAATGGGTCGCTCCAAGCGTGGTCCCGTGATAGGTTGTCAACTGTGCAAGTCCATCCGTGACATTTCCTGGCTACTAAATATTCCACAGTCAACGGTTAGTGGGATTATAACAAAGTGGAAACAACTGAGAACAACAGCAACTCAGCCACCAAGTGGTAGGCCACGTCACATGACAGAGCGGGGGTCAGCACATGCTGAAGCGCACAGTGCGCAGAAGTCGCCAACTGTCTGCAGAGTCAATAGCTAAAGACTTCCAAACTTGGTGTGGCCTTCAGATGAGCACAACAACAGTGTGTAGAGAGCTTCATGGAATGGGTTTCCATGGCTGAGCAGCTGCATCCAAGCCTTACATCACCAACTGCAATGCAAAGTGCTGGATGCAGTGGTGTAAAGCACGCCACCACTGGACTCTAGAGCAGTGGAGACATGTTCTCTGGAGTGACCAATCGCGCTTCTCTGTCTAGCAATCCGATGGACGTGCGAGTTTGGTGGTTGCCAGGAGAACGGTACTTGCCTTACTGCATTGTGCCAAGTGTAAAGTGTGATGGAGGGGAGATTATGGTGTGGGGTTTTTCAGGGGTTGGGCATGGCCCCCTAGTTCCATTGAAGGGAACTCTTAAGGCATCAGCATACCAAAACATTTTGGACAATTTCATGCTCCCAACTTTGTGGGCAGAGTTTGGGGATGGCACATTTCTGTTCCAACATGACTGCACACCAGTGCACAAAGCAAGGTCCGTAAATACATGGAGGAGCCAGTTTGGGGTGGAGGAACTTGACTGACCTCAACCCCACAGAACACCTTTGGGAGGAATTAGAGCAGAGACTGCGAGCCAGGCCTCCTTCCCCGACATCAGTGCCTGATCTCACAAATGTGCTTCTGGAAGAATGGTCCAACCTTCCCATAGACACCCTCCTAAACCTTGTGGACGGCCTTCCCAGAAGAGGTGAAGCTGTTATAGCTGCAGAGGGCGGGGCCAACTCAATATTGAACCCTACGGACTAAGACTGGGATGCCATTAAAGTTCATGGGCATGTAAAGGCAGGCCAACCAATACTTTTGGCCATATAGCACGTGTGCATGTGTGTGTATACACACATACACTCCTTGTTTTACAAATAAATATTCAATACACAACAAAGAATTCCATGAGCACTATGGTATAGTTAAAGCAAGAGCACAGCAGAAGTAGCTCACTTTCTAACTGGCTCTGTCTGACTGAAATATCCAATGAAGACGTCCAATAAAGGAGCCACTGTTCTAAGCTTACTAGTTTGTGTGTAAATTTTAGCTTGAGCTATTAATCTCCTAACAGAAAGCTTTTTAGGACATATGGTAGGTGCATAAGGGGAAAAAAAAAAAAAAAAAAAAAAGCTAAAAATGAAATAGTACATAGTGTTCCTTCATATTAAAAAGAAAAAAAAACTGTTTCAGGTCCATACAGACATGAGAGAAAGTTGGCTTTATACAACCAGTCAGTTATGGTTAGATTAGGGAATATCTGTACATCCTTGCAGCCCTACCTGACCAAGGCAAACAACCCCGCCCAAGCCTTTATTTTTAGTCAATCCGTGGGGTTGGATTCTTCCTTCTGCTAAGCCCTACCTACCCCTTCCCATGCCTCTACAGGCACAAACAGGTGAAACTCAAAAAATTAGAATATCGTGCAAAAGTTCATTTATTTCAGGAATGAAACTCAAAAGGTGAAACTAATATAGGAGATCGACTCATTACATGCAAAGCAAGATAGTTCAAGCCGTGATTTGTCATAATTGTGATGATTATGGCTTACAGCTAATGAAAACCCCAAATCCACAATCTCAGAAAATGAGAATATTGTGAAAAGGTGCAATATTCTCGGCTCAAAGTGTCCCACTCTAATCAGCTAATTCAGCCATAACACCTGCAAAGGGTTCCTGAGCCTTTAAATGGTCTGTCAGTCTGGTTCAGTAGGAATCACAATCATGGGAAAGACTGCTGACCTGACAGTTGTGCAGAAAACCATCATTGACACCCTCCATAAGGAGGGAAAGCCTCAAAAGGTACAGTCAGGTCCATAAATATTGGGACATCGACACAATTCTAACATTTCTTGCTCTATATACCACCATAATGGATTTGAAATGAAACGAACAAGATGTGCTTTAACTGCAGACTGTCAGCTTTAATTTGAGGGTATTTACATCCAAATCAGGTGAATGGTGTAGGAATTACAACAGTTTGCATATGTGCCTCCCACTTGTTAAGGGACCAAAAGTAAAGGGACAATTGGCTTTTCAGTTGCTCCATGGCCAGGTGTGTGTTATTCCCTCATTATCCCAATTACAATGAGCAGATAAAAAGGTCCAGAGTTCATTTTCAATTTGCATTTGGAATCTGTTGCTGTCAGCTCTCAAGATGAGATCCAAAGAGCTGTCACTGTCAGTGAAGCAAGCCATCATTAGGCTGAAAAAACAAAACAAACCCATCAGAGAGATAGCAAAAACATTAGGCGTGGCCAAAACAACTGTTTGGAACATTCTTAAAAAGAAGGAACGCACAGGTGAGCTCAGCAACACCAAAAGACCCGGAGGACCATGGCAAACAACTGTGGTGGATGACCGAAGAATTCTTTCCCTGGTGAAGAAAACACCCTTCACAACAGTTGGCCAGATCAAGAACACTCTCCAGGAGGTAGGTGTATGTGTGTCAAAGTCAACAATCAAGAGAAGACTTCACCAGAGTGAATACAGAGGGTTCACCACAAGATGGAAACCATTGGTGAGCCTCAAAAACAGGAAGGCCAGATTAGAGTTTGCCAAACGACATCTAAAAAAGCCTTCACAGTTCTGGAACAACATCCTATGGACAGATGAGACCAAGATCAACTTGTACCAGAGTGATGGGAAGAGAAGAGTATGGAGAAGGAAAGGAACTGCTCATGATCCTAAGCATACCACCTCATCAGTGAAGCATGGTGGTGGTAGTGTCATGGCGTGGGCATGTATGGCTGCCAATGGAACTGGTTCTCTTGTATTAATTGATGATGTGACTGCTGACAAAAGCAGCAGGATGAATTCTGAAGTGTTTCGGGAATATTATCTGCTCATATTCAGCCAAATGCTTCACAACTCATTGGACGCCGCTTCACAGTGCAGATGGACAATGACCCAAAGCAGACTGCAAAAGCAACCAAAGAGTTTAAGGGAAAGAAGTGGAATGTTCTGCAATGGCCAAGTCAATCACCTGACCTGAATCCGATTGAGCATTTCACTTGCTGAAGACCAAACTGAAGGGAAAATGCCCCAAGAACAAGCAGGAACTGAAGACAGTTGCAGTAGAGGCCTGGCAGAGCATCACCAGGGATGAAACCCAGCGTCTGGTGATGTCTATGCGTTCCAGACTTCAGGTATAATTGACTGCAAAGGATTTGCAACCAAGTATTAAAAAGTGAAAGTTTGATTTATGATTATTATTCTGTCCCATTACTTTTGGTCCCCTATCGAGTGGGAGGCACATATGCAAACTGTTGTAATTCCTACACCGTTCACCTGATTTGGATGTAAATACCCTCAAATTAAAGCTGACAGTCTGCAGTTAAAGCACATCTTGTTCGTTTCATTTCAAATCCATTGTGGTGGTGTATAGAGCCAAAAATGTTAGAATTGTGTCGATGTCCCAATATTTATGGACCTGACTGTAATTGCAAAAGAAGTTGGATGTTTCCAAAGTGCTGTATCAAAGCACATTAATAGAAAGTTATGTGGAATGGAAAATGTGGAAGAAAAAGGTGCACAAGCAGCAGGGATGACCGCAGCCTGGAGAGGATTGTCAGGAAAAGGTCATTCAAAAGTGTTGGGGACTTTCACAAGGAGTGGACTAAGACTGGAGTAAGTGCATCAAGAGCCACCACACACAGATGGATCCTGGACATGGGCTTCAAATGTCGTATTCCTCTTGTCAAGCCGCTCCTGAACAAACAGACCTGGTCTGTTGCTCAGTGTTCCAAAGTCCTCTTTTCTGATGAGAGCAACTTTTGCATCTCATTTGGAAACCAAGGACCCCGAGTATGGAGGAAGAATGGAGAGGCACACACTGCAAGATGCTTGAAGTCCAGTGTGAAGTTTCCACAGTCTGTGTTGATTTGGGGAGCCATGTCATCTGCTGGTGTTGGTCCACTGTGCTTCATTAAGTCCGGGGTCAACGCAGCCGTCTACCAGGAGATTTTGGAGCACTTTATGCTTCCTTCCGCAGACGAGCTTTATGGGGATGCTGACTTCATTTTCCAGCAGGACTCAACCTGGTTCAATGACCGTGGGATTACTGTGCTTGATTGGCCAGCAAACTCGCCTGACCTGGACCCATAGAGAATCTATGGGGCATTGCCAAGAGAAAGATGAGAGACATGAGACCAAACAATGCAGAAGAGTTGAAGGCCGCTATTGAAGCATCCTGGTCTTCCATAACACCTCAGCAGTGCCACAGGCTGATAGCTTCCATGCCACGCCGCATTGAGGCTGTAATTGCTGCAAAAGGGGCCCAAACCAAGTACTGAGTACATATGCATGCTTCTACTTTTCAGAGGTCCGATATTGTTCTATGTACAATCCTTATTTTATTGATTGCATGGAATATTCTCATTTTCTGAGATTGTGGATTTGGGGTTTTCATGAGCTGTAAGCCATAATCATCACAATGATGACAAATCACGGCTTGAACTATCTTGCTTTGCATGTAATGAGTCTATCTCATATATTCGTTTCACCTTTTAAGTTGCTGCACTGAAATAAATGAACTTTTGCACGATATTCTATTTTTTTCGAGTTTCACCTATAGGTTCAGATGTTGCCAAAGTGTGTCAGTGGGTAGATTTAGTCACAATGCATGGCCAGATCCTTAAATTGTATCTAAACCCAAGAACATCAAGTAATCTACTGCAGCTTACCAATCTTCGGATGTGGTGGTTGCATTTCTTTTCTTTTTTTAGTTCTTTCCCCGAATTTTCACCTGGTGACCCTGCCAGTAGCACACTTTTTGTCCTAGGCTGACAACGCTCACTCAATGTACTGTATCTATTAAAGAGGAGCATTTTCATCCTAAGACTGGACTATAGAACACCACCCTTCTTCCCCTTCTTAATGGAGAAGTGTTGTGTAATCCAGAGATAGCTTGAAACAATGCTAATAGTGCAGCAGAGGCAGAGAGAACAGGAAGTTATAGTGCTCGGCTGGACACTGATAGAAGTCACAAGACTGCTCTAACTGCTGATGAGAAAAGGTAATACTTGCATTCCCATGTTCTGTGTACTGTGGGGAGACCGCGGGTATCGCGAAGGCAGGGTCCGGGGGAGACCGCGGGTATCGCGAAGGCAGGGTCCGGGGGAGACCGCGGGTATCGCGAAGGCAGGGTCCGGGGGAGACCGCGGGTATCGCGAAGGCAGGGTCCGGGGGAGACCGCGGGTATCGCGAAGGCAGGGTCCGGGGGAGACCGCGGGTATCGCGAAGGCAGGGTCCGGGGGAGACCGCGGGTATCGCGAAGGCAGGGTCCGGGGGAGACCGCGGGTATCGCGAAGGCAGGGTCCGGGGGAGACCGCGGGTATCGCGAAGGCAGGGTCCGGGGGAGAGCGGATATAGCGAACGCAGGGTCCGGGGGAGAGCGGATATAGCGAACGCAGGGTCCGGGGGAGAGCGGATATAGCGAACGCAGGGTCCGGGGGAGAGCGGATATAGCGAACGCAGGGTCCGGGGGAGAGCGGATATAGCGAACGCAGGGTCCGGGGGGAGAGCGGATATAGCGAACGCAGGGTCCGGGGGGAGAGCGGATATAGCGAACGCAGGGTCCGGGGGAGAGCGGATATAGCGAACGCAGGGTCCGGGGGAGAGCGGATATAGCGAACGCAGGGTCCGGGGGAGAGCGGATATAGCGAACGCAGGGTCCGGGGGAGACCGGATATAGCGAACGCAGGGTCCGGGGGAGAGCGGATATAGCGAACGCAGGGTCCGGGGGAGACCGGATATAGCGAACGCAGGGTCCGGGGGAGACCGGATATAGCGAATGCAGGGTCCAGGGAGACCGGATATAGTGAATGCAGGGTCCAGGGAGACCGGATATAGTGAATGCAGGGTCCTGGGTATAGTAACACTTTAACAGACAAAATGGAAGTTAATGAATACCTTCAACAGGTACATTGATTCCCAACTCCATCTTCTGGTATAACAGAGAGCAGTGAGGATACAATATACAAGAATGATCCTACTTACCCGAATATACATTGATAGATGGAACAGAGCTGACATGCCGCTCATTCTGTAACAAAAAAAATCAGAAGAAAAATCTATATTACAAGATTCTGTTATGAGTAGACAAGACAAATGACTTCACACTGAATGTACATATACAACATGTGCATTCCAGTCCCTGGTGTTTTCCTGCGAGAACAGACCAATCACTCAACAGTGATGGCTGTTAGCAATATAGTATTTAGAGCTGCATAGTTCCATCCACATGGCTTCCACAATGTGTTTGGACTGCAAACCACAGACCTCAACATCCCAGGATAAAAATCTCATTATGTAGAGCCAAACATGAGAACATAGATATCACTGCGTGTCAGGAAATTCACATACCTAAGAGTTGCCACCATTTGGAAACTATTTTTATTAATATCCTCCAGCTGTGTTTTTTCTCAGAACAAATTTCCATCAATATTACGCAATATATTGTACCAAATTGTATTGTAACTGTATTATCTCCCGTTATATTGTAAAGCGCTGCACAAACTGTTGGCGTTATATAAATCCTGTATAATAATAATAAGTATTATCATAAGTTTGGCCTCAATCTAATGTCATCAGTTGAAAAATGTTATTGTGCCAAAAAAAGATACAGACACATGCCCCAGCTGACGCATTTCACCTAACCAGGGCTTAGTCATAAGTGTAAGCATCAGTAGGGGAGATGCTTACTTATAAATGACTCATATTTTAACACATACGGCTATTAACTGATAACGATTGTCCCTAAAGGTGCATTATCTAAAATTAACTAACAGTGACAAATCAAGATGACTAACTACATAAGTGAGCCTACTAATGAAAAAAAGTCCACCAATAACACATCATAAAAATGTACATACCTGAAACAAAAAAAAAAATTAATGTGTTTAATGTTTTTCTAATAAAACAGTGGAAAGATAATTGTAAAATAGGGAAAAAAGGACTGGGAGACAAACATGTAAAAGGGGGAGATGTCTGAACAAAAGGGTTGAATAAGGGTAAGAAGGAAAGGAGGGGGGGGGCAGCATCATAAGAAGATGGAAGGAAAGAGAAAAAAAAGAAGATAGAAAGAAATTGAAAAGGCAAGAGAGAGAATAGAGATGGAGGGGGGAGAGACATAGTATGCCTGGACAGAGGGGTGGCGGTGGACGTGGTATGCCTGGACAGAGGGGGGTGGCGGTGGACGTGGTATGCCTGGACAGAGGGGTGGCGGTGGACGTGGTATGCCTGGACAGAGGGGTGGCGGTGGACGTGGTATGCCTGGACAGAGGGGTGGCGGTGGACGTGGTATGCCTGGACAGAGGGGTGGCGGTGGACGTGGTATGCCTGGACAGAGGGGTGGCGGTGGACGTGGTATGCCTGGACAGAGGGGTGGCGGTGGACGTGGTATGCCTGGACAGAGGGGGTGGCGGTGGACGTGGTATGCCTGGACAGAGGGGTGGCGGTGGACGTGGTATGCCTGGACAGAGGGGTGGCGGTGGACGTGGTATGCCTGGACAGAGGGGTGGCGGTGGACGTGGTATGCCTGGACAGAGGGGTGGCGGTGGACGTGGTATGCCTGGACAGAGGGGTGGCGGTGGACGTGGTATGCCTGGACAGAGGGGTGGCGGTGGACGTGGTATGCCTGGACAGAGGGGTGGCGGTGGACGTGGTATGCCTGGACAGAGGGGTGGCGGTGGACGTGGTATGCCTGGACAGAGGGGTGGCGGTGGACGTGGTATGCCTGGACAGAGGGGTGGCGGTGGACGTGGTATGCCTGGACAGAGGGGTGGCGGTGGACGTGGTATGCTTGAACAGAGGGGTGGCGGTGGACGTGGTATGCTTGAACAGAGGGGTGGCGGTGGACGTGGTATGCTTGGACAGAGGGGTGGCGGTGGACGTGGTATACTAGGATTTTGCAAAAGTATTTGACACAGTTTCCCACACACACGGCTAATGTGTAAAGTAAAGTTTACAGGCTTGGAAAAATCTGTATGTAAATGGATAGAAAGCTGGCTAAAAGATCGTAAAAGATTAGTGGTTAATGATTCATACTCTGAATGGTCTAGGGGTGTCAGTGGTGTACCCCAAGGTTACGTGTTATTAGTGGGGTACCCCAAGGTTCAGTGTTGGCACCCTTACTTTTTAATATATTTATAAACAATATAGGGTCTGGGATTAACAATCCCATTTCAGTCTGTGAAGATGACACCAAGCTGTGCCGTGGAATAACGTCCTTACAGGATGTCTCCAACTTGCAAGCCGACCTCAATGCTCTGTGTAATTGGGGGGGACTATGTGCCAAATGAGGTTTGACCACTTGCCCACTGGACACTTTCACCCCCTTCCTGCCCAGGCCAATTTTCAGCTGTCACAATTTGATTTGACAAATTGTGTGGTCATGAAACATTTGAATGTTTTTTTCACACAAATGAAGCTTTCTTTTGGTGGTATTTAATCACCACTGGGATGTTTTTGCTAAATAAAAATGAAAAAAAAAAAAAAAGACCAAAAATGCATTTTTTTCTTCATTCCTGTTAAAACATTTTGCAAATAAATAATTGTTCTTCATATATTTAGGCCAAAATGTACTCTGCTACATTTATTTGGTGAGAATAACCCAAATCAGTGTTTATTATTTTGTCTGTAGAAAATTTATAAAGGTCTACAAACTATGGTATATATCTGAAAACCAATCAATCCTGAAGTACTGATGGCTGATCTCATTTCTTGAGGCAGTACAAATACCCCCCTTGTGATTGGTACCGTAGTCCTCTGGGACCTGTGAAGTGTCCCAGAAGACTGCAGGGGTGGTGGGGGGGGAGAATGGTGAACGGAGCTGGAAGTGGGAGCGGGTACCTCTCAAAACCAAGTATCCGTTCCCGCCTCCCCCCTATAAAAATTGCCAAAATGTGGCAGTGGAGAGGGGGGAGGATGCAAACAAGGAGGGCTTCCCCTTTTGGGTGAGGCATTTGATCTCTGTATAAATACACAGGTGGTCCAACTAGTGAACTCGGTATAGTTATTCACTTTAAAAGGTCATCACAGAGGACACTCTTTATGTCTGGAGGAAAAGAGATTTAGTGCCCAGTCAACCGCTGCAATTTCAGGATCGATTTGCAAATTGAAACTGCACCTGAAATGAATGTGAATGTCAGTGTCTTAACATGTGCGATTTGCTGCGGCGCGATTTCTAAAGTAGTTCTTGTATTACTTTTTCTGCAGTTTTGTTGTGATTTCACATACATAGCATGTAATGGAAATCGCATGGCAAATTGCAAGAAATTGTTGAAAATCTTCACAAGTGACAAAGTCTTCAGAAATCACACACAAATCGCACAATTTTAAATCGCAGTGGTGTGACTACTGACAATCTCCAAATACAGAAAGGTTTCTTCACAGTAAGAGCAGTAAACATGTGGAATAGACTCCCTGAAGAGAAGGTTCTAGCCAGCTTTGTAGATGGTTTTAAAAAAGACCTGGATGCATTCTTAAATGCACAAAATGGGCTGCACAGTGGCTAAATGGTTAGCACTTCCGCCTGGCAGTACTAGGTTCGTTGGTTCGAATCCCAGCCACGGCACCTCCTGCCTGGAGTTTGCATGTTCTCCCTGTGCCTGCGTGGGTTTTCCTCCGGGTACTCTGGTTTCCTCCCACACTCCAAAGACATGCTGGTAGGTTAATTGGATCCTGTCTAGATTGGCCCTTGTATATGAATGTGAGTTAGGGACCTTAGATTGTACACCCCTTGAGGGTTAGGGACTGATGTGAATGTACAATATATATGTAAAGTGCTGCGTAAATTGACGGCGATATACAAGTACCTGAAATAAATAAATAAAATATAACTAGATACTAAAATTTATAGGTAATAATACCAGATGTCAACCAATTGCCTCCTGCGCTGTCAGGAGGGAATCCTCCTGCTGAAGCATATTCGATTATGCTTTATTGGGGGGTTCTTGCCTTCCTCTGAATCAACTGCAGATATAGGATTGTGTACATGGTGGTTTTGGTATTTTTTTTTTTTTATTGGTTGGTTGAACGAGATGGACTTATGCCTTTTTTTCCCAACTCGACTAGCTACTTGACAGGGAAGAATAATCACTCCCCCCCCCCCCATAGTGTTACTGATCCTTTCTATGCCAGCTGCCTTTATTTTTATTTATTTTTTACTTACAGTAGAGAGTCTGGGCTCAACCACGATGACATGGGTTCTAGCCCCTCCCACTCCTTCTCTCATTCACGAAGTTGATGAAATCTTTGTGTGTTCTGGCTCCTTGGTACTTCCGGAAAATCCCATCTTTACAGCTGATTGAAAAGACACGAAAGTTAGAACAAAGCAAACCACTTTCCTGGAAATACATATAATGCACCAAAATGGACTGGTTTTTTTTTTTTTTTTTTAGTTTTTTTAAAAAAGGTGAATTAAAAAGAGAAGTACAGCCAAAGCTTTTTTTTTGGTTGTACTTCTGTGGATCACAGGAGTGCAGTTTGTTCTGCACTCCTGTGACCCATTTTCCGCCGTCAGCTGACTGAAGCCCGCCGTCAGCTGACTGAAGCCCGCCGTCAGCTGACATCACTGAGCTAGTCCAGGCTGGGGAAAGGTCCCGACTTTAAAGTCGGGATCCACCCCAGAGTCTGGAGCAGCACCCGGCTCAGCCTCATCACCAGCAATCCACTGAGAGCCCGAGTCAGACTTTTGGGTTTTAATACTGCTTTCGGTTCACATTTGTGTAAATGCAGGATGCTGGAGAGCAACTATAGCCAGGGTGCCTTGGAGAGGAGACGGCGCTGGACCGGCCCCACTCCTTATTACCCCACTATCAGTCACTCATCACTCAGCCACATTTTTGTCTCTCTTGATCAACGTCTGATTCCGAATGTTTGGTCGAATCGGATATCGATTGTTCACTTTCCTTGAACCGTGTATGACCACCATAGGGAGAGGTAAACTGCACTATTAGAATTTTGTTCTTGGTTTTAGATACAATTTAACCCATCTCTCTCCTTTGTGATGCCTTTAGAGCAATATAAAAGTACGACACATTTCACCTTCTCGTCCTGGGAAGACCAAAATAAACAAGTGACATTTAGAACATGGTAATAACCTCTTGCCGCCCATGTAATGCATGTGTGCTGCGGCAATGAGCGGGGGCCTGAACGCCCACACGCCACACATGCACCCATGGGTGGATGAGGTTTCTGTGCTGAGAGCACGTTCCCAGCACAGGGATTCTGCTATCAAAGACCGCTTCCAGTCTCTAGTAATGATCGGGACCGGCTCACAAAGATGCGACCACTGTGCCAGACAATCACAGCGACCTGAAGGGCCAGTCCTTCCCACCCTCCCATACATGAAGACCTTGTTAGGGACTCCGTGGCTGGGAGGGACGGGGTTAACGTATGATGCTCTGACTGTGGTGCTGCCATAGACTGGTATAGAAGGGACTTCAGGTAAGGTGTATACAGATACTCACTGATATATAGTAGGCAGGGCTGTAATGATGAAACGGCCACTCAGTCCTGTAAAACAAGAGAAGAAATGACAGAAGGAGAGGGCTCCGTGCATTACCCACTTCTATTCCCACCTCTCCTTCCTACCCCACATCCAACCGCTATCTAGATCTTGCAGGCTCCACCTCCGCAACATCTCCAAGATACGCACATTCCTCACCCCAGACACCACCAAACAACTCGTACACTCCCTCATCATCTCACGCCTGGACTACTGCAACTCCCTCCTCACCGGCCTACCCAAACGAGCGCTATCCCCACTCCAGTCTATCATAAACTCAGCTGCTGGACTCATCCACCTCACCAACCGCTCCACATCTGCCTCCCCCCTCTGCCAATCCCTTCATTGGCTCCCGATTGCCCAACGCATCAAATTCAAACTGCTAACTCTACAAAGCCACTCACAACGCCGCCCCGAACTACATAACTGACCTGACACCCAGATACTACCCTACCCGTGCCCTCCGCTCCTCACAGGACCTCCTACTCTCTAGCTCCCTGGTCTCCTCCTCCCACGCCCGATTGCAGGACTTCCCCCATCCTCTGGAACTCCCTACCCCAATCCATCAGACTGTCACCTACCCTCCTCACCTTCAGGCGCACCCTGAAAACCCTCCTCTTCAGGGAAGCCTACCCCAACCTCACCTAACAGCCGACCTCACCTAACAACTAACCTCCTCCACTCCTCCTACCACTCCATCCCCCACAGCTATCTCCTCCTGTGCCACCCTCCCCTCCCTCCTAGACTGTAAGCTCGAAAGAGCAGGGCCCTCGAACCCCTCCATTATTGTATTGTTACTGTCTTGTCTCATGTTATGTCCCCCTTGCTACTGTACAGCGCTGAGCAAACCCTTTGGCGCTATATAAATACTGTATAATAATAATATTCCTGACACCATTAGTCCACCCCACACTGATATTTCAGTTGTTGTTTATTGGTACATTACTTTTAGGCTTCATTTTGTTCTGCACTCTAAAGAGCAATCCCTGTTCAGATCACTCTTCAGAGGGCATCTGCCAGGCATTAAAAATTGCCTCCATACCACCTATTTAAACCCCAATCCAGTGCACCACAACTGCACGCAGCTGCAGGGTGCCCCCATTCCATCTAATGAGTGTTCGATGGGGGTGGTACTGCCTGCCAAGCACAACAGTAGGAATCACTTTTGCCGCACAGGCTCAGCATATGTACAACCCCCTGCAGCCTAAGAGGAAGCAGCAAAACACAGCTCAACTGCCTCTATTTGCCACCACAAGTGTAAATGAGGCCTTGATGCATTAGCTGGCTTTACACTGCCTGCAATGATGTTTACTGCCCCCCTACATCATGCCCCCCCACCAAAAGAACATTTAAAGTGGAATCTGCTTCCTGCGTACCACAAACTGAAACCGCAATTTATTTCATTTTTAATATTCAATGCATGCTCCCCCGTCCATCCGTGTCTACATGCTTTACTTTGTTGAGAAATCACTTTGAAAAACCACCCCCCTAGCATTTTTTGGCTGTGGCCATCTTGAGTAAGGGCAAAGGATTCATGTAGCACTTACAGTACTTCCTGAAATCCATCTGCCCTTAGCTCAGGCATTCAGGCAGGAGGAAGTGCTGAGCTGAAAAAGCCCCTCCTCCAGATAAAAAAACCATTGCTCACGAACATTCCTGGGATGTATGGCATCATTTAGGCCTAGGCCAGAAACCAGGAAGCAACTGAATTAAAGAAAAAAAAAAAGGGTTGTAATCCAGTAAGTATGATATACCTTCCAGTCTATGTACTGATCCTAGCAGCATAAGGATCACACATCATGAACACTGATGGAGTGAAGTTCTGCACTAGACCCTCTCCTGACAATGAGGACCATGATAGTGAGCAGGAAAGTCTGCCAGACTTCAGATCAGTGAAAGCCGGGACATGATTGGTTGCTTTGGTTAGCAGAACTCTGCACTCGGCCCGTCCTCTTCCTCCCCCCCCCCCCCCCCCCCCCCGAAGAATTACCTGGCTGAGCCGTGACATCCACTTTGGCAACACTGACACCGAGGTCTTCTCCCCACTCTGAAAATTCCTTCCATTCTGGCTGCAGCTTCTGGCAGGCCGGACACCAGGGAGCGTAGCTGGGGAATGAGACAAGTGTTACCATCCTGAGAACCGTACACCGCTCCGTACGCCGAGCGTATACCGCTCCGTACGCAGCAGAGGGCAGGGCCGCCGAGCGCACACCGCTCCCTATGCAGGGCGCAGGGCCGCCGAGCGCACACCGCTCCGTACGCAGGGCGCAGGGCCGCCGAGCGCACACCGCTCCGTACGCAGGGCCGCCGAGCGCACACCGCTCCGTACGCAGGGCCGCCGAGCGCACACCGCTCCGTACGCAGGGCCGCCGAGCGCACACCGCTCCGTACGCAGGGCGCAGGGCCGCCGAGCGCACACCGCTCCGTGCGCAGGGCCGCCGAGCGCACACCGCTCCGTGCGCAGGGCCGCCGAGCGCACACCGCTCCGTGCGCAGGGCCGCCGAGCGCACACCGCTCCGTACGCAGGGGGCGCAGGGCCGGGCGTACAACGCTCCGTACGCAGGGGGCAGGGCCGGGCGTACAACGCTCCGTACGCAGGGCCGGGCGTACAACGCTCCGTACGCAGGGCCGGGCGTACAACGCTCCGTACGCAGGGCCGGGCGTACAACGCTCCGTACGCAGGGCCGGGCGTACAACGCTCCGTACGCAGGGCCGGGCGTACAACGCTCCGTACGCAGGGCCGGGCGTGCAACGCTCCGTACGCAGGGCCGGGCGTGCAACGCTCCGTACGCAGGGCCGGGCGTGCAACGCTCCGTACGCAGGGGGCAGGGCCGGGCGTGCAACGCTCCGTACGCAGGGGGCAGGGCCGGGCGTGCAACGCTCCGCACGCAGGGGGCAGGGCCGGGCGTGCAACGCTCCGCACGCAGGGGGCAGGGCCGGGCGTGCAACGCTCCGCACGCAGGGGGCAGGGCCGGGCGTGCAACGCTCCGCACGCAGGGGGCAGGGCCGGGCGTGCAACGCTCCGCACGCAGGGGGCAGGGCCGGGCGTGCAACGCTCCGCACGCAGGGGGCAGGGCCGGGCGTACAACGCTCCGCACGCAGGGGGCAGGGCCGGGCGTACAACGCTCCGCACGCAGGGGGCAGGGCCGGGCGTACAACGCTCCGCACGCAGGGGGCAGGGCCGGGCGTACAACGCTCCGCACGCAGGGGGCAGGGCCGGGCGTACAACGCTCCGCACGCAGGGGGCAGGGCCGGGCGTACAACGCTCCGCACGCAGGGGGCAGGGCCGGGCGTACAACGCTCCGCACGCAGGGGGCAGGGCCGGGCGTACAACGCTCCGCACGCAGGGGGCAGGGCCGGGCGTACAACGCTCCGTATGCAGAGGGCAGGGCCGGGCGCACAACGCTCCGTATACAGAGGGCAGGGCCGGGCGTACAATGCTCCATATACAGAGGGCAGGACAGGGCCGGGCGTACAACGCTCCCTCAGGCCACTGCATGGAACCCCAAGATCTCCACATGGAACCCCAACATCTCTGCATTCAGCCCCTCTGACCTCCACATGGAACCCCAACATCTCCACATGGAGCCCCTCAGACCTCTGCATGGAACACCCTGCATGCCGGCACAGAGCCCGGTCTCCCGGTAGGGGGCGGAGACACTCACAATTTGATCATCCACTCCCCGGTGAGGATTTCCCGCCAGTTGTTGTCGGTGATGTCGATGACGTCACCTTTCCCAGCCCTCCCACTCGCCGGGAGGACGAGGAGCAGGCCGAGGCAGAGGAGGATGAGCGGAGCCATGTCCGCAGATCGCCCCGTCTACAGTCCGGGATCACAGAGGAAGAACCGGCTTCTACCGGGAGGAGGAGTCACGCGGCCCCGCCCTCACACCTCTTCCCTGCCGCACCAAACTGCTATCTTTGTTGTGGCGACACCTGATGGCCGGAGGCCGAACTGCACCTCCACTGTAAACCACCATCCAGCCGATCAAATGTATCCAAATCAGTGGCGGACTGACCATTTGGAAACTCGGGCACTGCTCGAGGGCCCGGGGTCAGTAGGGGGCCCCTTGAGATGCACCTGGGGTACTTGTCTGTTAATTCACCGGATTTTTATTTATATATATATATATAGAGTATATATATATATATATATATATATATATATATATACTCTATATATTTATATATATATATATATAAATATATATAAATAAATATATATATTTTTTTTTTAGATATTTAAATAAAACATATAAATATATGTATATATAAATAAATCCTGTGAATTAACAGACAAGTACCGACCCCTGGTTCCTTTTTCATAGGCTTTTTTGAGTTTGGGCAAGAACACAGGGGCCCCATGATCCCCTATTGCCCGGGGGCCCCATGAGTTGTCAGTCCACCCGTGATCCAAACCTCCATGAATATAATCCATTGGAACCTTCCTGTCCTGGTTCTGTCCAGTTTTATTCGTCATTAGCTCTCTTTTCTGCTTTCTGGCTTCATTTACTTGGTGTACAGAACAAATACCAGGTGATCTGGCCAAAAAGCTTTAGGCTCTGTTCACATCGACGCATTCCAGGAACGCACATGGAAACGCGCATTCCCAAAATGCGCAAAAATGAACATTGCGCTTGCAGTGTTAATGGAAACACGCAACATGCATGACCAAAAAACATGCAGCAAAAAAACGCACAACCTGGAACACGGAAAAGGCCTCCATGAGCTGCTTTGCTGCGTTTGTCGCTCGTAGGGCAGCCTATTGAAACCAATGGGTTACCCTATGCATGTCATGCAAAAAAAGTGCAATAACGCAGATTTGACATGCACTAGGTGTGAATGGGGCCTCAGTGCCAGCTCACGTTAGAGCGCAAGTGTTTTTGCGCGTTCCGCTACTGACAACTCATTTATTCAGTGGGCTGCCAAACGCTTGGGAACATGCAAAAAGCAAGGCAGGTGCAGCTCTTTCCCAGTACCATGCAATTTGGTGGCCACAGACGTCATGCATTTGCTAGATGCTTTATGGGTGCTACAAACCATTAATGGCACCTCCACATGTTCCCATGTGATGCGGGAAACACAGAAATGCGCCTTTCCTGCAGTGTTCTGGTGTGATCGGGCTCTAAATCTTTAAACTACTAATCCCATCCCCCCTTCCTCCCACCTTATAATGGAGATGATTGAGGTTTAGAGTCGGTGACAACCATGGCTCCAGGGGAGAACTGACTATTTGGGAACTAGGGCACTGCCCGAGGGCCCGGGGTCAGTAGAGGGCCCAATGAGATGCCCCTGGTACCTTTTTCATAGGCTTTTTTGAGTTTGGGCAAGGACACGGGCCTCATGATCCCCTATTGAGGGCCCGGGGTCAGTAGGGGGCCCCATGAGATGCCCCTGGTACCTTTTTCATAGGCTTTTTTGAGTTTGGGCAAGGACACAGGGGCCCCATGATGCCCTATTGCCCGGGGGCCTCATGAGTTGTCAGTCCGCCCCTGCATAGCTCCCTCCATAGATATTATATAAAAAAAGTGAGCATAGCCTCCCAGGGACAGGAAGTGTTTTACTGGCAGGATCATCAGGTGAAAACAAAGCCTGAAATAAAAAGAAAATGCAACCACCACATCTGCAATATATGACATTTTGGGGAGCAGCTAGACAGACAGTGAAAATGCATATATGGGACTGATTTGCATGCTTTAGGACTTGCATTGTCCAGCCCTGACATTTGCACAGCTCTTCCAGACAGCACATTTGGTGGATGACACCACTTACATTTAAGTACCCATTAATATTTTTTGTGGTGCAATAACATACAGTGGGGATCGAAAGTTTGGGCACCCCAGCTAAAAATTTGTATTAATGTGCATAAAGAAGCCAAGGAAAGATGGAAAAATCTCCAAAAGGCATCAAATTACAGATTAGACATTCTTATAATATGTCAACAAAAGTTAGATTTTATTTCCATCATTTACACTTTCAAAATAACAGAAAACAAAAAAAATGGCGTCTGCAAAAGTTTGGACACCCTGCAGAATTTATAGCATGCACTGCCCCCTTTGCAAAGCTGAGACCTGCCAGTGTCATGGATTGTTCTCAATCATCGTCTGGGAAGACCAGGTGATGTCAATCTCAAAGGTTCTAAAAGCCCAGACTCATCTGACCTTGCCCCAACAATCAGCACCATGGGTTCTTCTAAGCAGTTGTCTAGAAAACTGAAACTGAAAATAGTTGACGCTCACAAAGCTGGAGAAGGCTATAAGAAGATAGCAAAGCGTTTTCAGATGTCAATATCCTCTGTTCGGAATGTAATTAAGAAATGGCAGTCATCAGGAACAGTGGAAGTTAAAGCAAGATCTGGAAGACCAAGAAAAATATCAGACAAAACAGCTCGCAGGATTGTGAGAAAAACAATTCAAAACCCACGTTTGACTGCACGATCCCTCCAGAAAGATCTGGCAGACACTGGAGTTGTGGTACACTATTCCACTATAAAGAGATACTTGTACAAATATGGTCTTCATGGAAGAGTCATCAGAAGAAAACCTCTTCTACGTCCTCGCCACAAAAATCATCGTTTGAACTTTGCAAATGAACATATAGACAAGCCTGATGCATTTTGGAAACAAGTTCTGTGGACCGATGAGGTTAAAATTGAACTTTTTGGCCGGAATGAGCAAAGGTACGTTTGGAGAAGAAGGGGCACAGAATTTAATGAAAAGAACCTCTGTCCAACTGTTAATCATGGGGTTGGATCAATTATGCTTTGGGGTTGTGTTGCAGCCAGTGGCACAGGGAACATCTCACGAGTAGAAGGAAAAATGGATTCAATAAAATTTCAGCAAATTTTGGATGGTAACTTGATGCCATCTGTGAAAAAGCTGAAGTTAAAGAGAGGATGGCTTCTACAAATGGATAATGATCCTAAACACACCTCGAAATCCACGGGGGATTACATCAAGAGGTGTAAACTGAAGGTTTTACCATGGCTTTCACAATCTCCTGACCTCAACAGAATTGAACATCTATGGATAGACCTTAAAAGAGCAGTGCGTGACAGACAGCCCAGAAATCTCAAAGAACTGGAAGACTTTTGTAAGGAAGAATGGGCAAAGATACCTCAAACAAGAATTGAAAGACTCTTGGCTGGCTACAAAAAGCGTTTACAAGCTGTGATACTTGCCAAAGGGGGCAGTACAAGATATTAACTCTGCAGGGTGCCCAAACTTTTGCAGACGCCATTTTTTTGTTTTATGTTATTTTGAAAGTGTAAATGATGGAAATAAAATCTAACTTTTGTTGACATAAGAATGTCTAATCTGTAATTTGATGCCTTTTGGAGATTTTTCCATCTTTCCTTGGCTTCTTTATGCACATTAATACAAATTTTTAGCTGGGGTGCCCAAACTTTCGATCCCACACTGTACAATGTGTTTCACATTAATGTACACTGCATTCCAGCAGGCAACTGAAATGAATATGCTATGCTATAGGAGTTGTTGGAGACCATGGACATGTATTGAAGTTGTTGGAGATTGGGACATACTATAGCAGTTGTTGGAGACTGTGAACGTGCTATCAGAGTTGTTAGAGGCTGCGGACATGCTATAGGAGTTGTTGCAGACCATGAACATGCTGTAGGAGTTGTTTGAGACTGGGGGTACGATGTAGGATTTGGTGGAGACCATAAATGTGGTATATTAGATGTTGGAGACCATGAACATTCTACAGGAGTTGTTGGGGACCATAAATGTGTTATAGGAGATGGAGACCATGAATATGCTACAGGAGTTGTTGGGGAACATTAATGTGTTATACAAAAGGTTGGAGACCATGAACATGGATTGGAGTTGTTGGAGACATGACCATGCTATAGCGGTTGATGGAAACTGGGGACATGCTATGGGAGGTGTTGGAGACTGGGGACATGCTATAGCAGTTGCTGGAGACTTAGAACATGCTATAGGAGTTGTTGGTGACTGTGAACATGCTGTAGAAGTTGTTGGAGATTAGGGACATGCTATAGGAATTTTTGGAGACTAGGGATATGCTATAAGAGTTGTTGGAGACTGTGAACATGCTATAACAGTTGCTGGAGACTGGGGGCATGCTATGGGAGGTGTTGGAGACCTTGAACATAATAAAGAATTTGTCGGAGACTGGGAACATGCTATAGGCGTTGTTGGAGACTGTGAAAATGCTATAACAGTTGTTGGAGACTGTGAATGTGCTATCAGAGTTGTTAAAGACTGGGACCATGCTATTGGAGTTGTTGGAGACTGCAAACATGCTATAAGAGTTGTTGGAGACCATGAACATGGATAAGCGTTGTTGGAAACCGTGACCATGCTATAGGAGTTGTTGAAGACCATGAACATGCTCTAGGAGTTTTTGGACACTGGGGACATGCTCCAGAAGTTTTTTTGGAGACTGGGGACATGCTATACAAGTTGTTGGAGACCTTGAATGTGCTATAGGAGTTGTTGGAGAGACATACTCTAGGAATTTTGGGAGACCGTGAATGTGCTATCAGAGTTGTTAGAAGCTGGGGTCATGCTAATGGAGTTGATGGAGGCAATGAACATGCTGTAGGAGATGTTTGACACTGGGGGCATGATATAGGAGTTAGTGGAGACCATGAACATGTTATAGGAGTTGCTGGAGACTGGCAATGTGCTATATGAACTATCAGAGAATGTGACCATTCTTTAGGGGTTGCTGAAGACCCTGAAGATGCTTTAGGAATTGTTTGAGAGCATGAACATGCTATAGTAGTCCTTGTAGACCATGACCATGTTATAGGAG